AGGCCTGTATTATGCATATATGAATATATGCCTCTGTGTGTATATCTATATACTTTTTTCAAAAATCATGTTAAGTTTTTTAATTTTTAGTTGGTAGTCATAATATTTTTAAGTTTTCCAACTTGAAAAAAATCGTACAGAGACTTAGAATTTATGGTATTAGTTTTCGAGTGTAATAATTATCACAAATTTAGAAGGTGAAAAACAACACCCATTTATGAGTTCACAGTGTGACTGGATTTTCTCTTTAGCATATCACAAGGTTGATATCAAGGTGTATTGTGTCACTCAAGATGATGGCAAATTTTGAATCTTTGAAGTTTTAGGCCTGAGGTCCTTTTTTTTTGTTTTTTGTTTTCGGGTTTTTATTTTGCTATTGGTCAGTGGTTAATGGTTGCTCTTTGATCTTCAAACCATCAAAGACACATTGAATCCTTCCTGACTTTCAGATCCCTCTGATTTCCAGTTTTGGAACTAACCAGAAAAGCACTCTGTTAAAAGACTTTCCTGGTTATACTAGACTCACTACAATAATGTCCCTAGGTTTTAACTTACTGATTAGTTACCTTAATTACATCTGCAAAATGGCTTTTACCAGGTAAAGTAACATCATCATGAGGTTCATCTTCAGATTCTCTCTTTCTCACTGTTAAATGCTCAATATTTAGGTTGAATAACATAATAAATCATGTATTATTTGCATTATGAAACATCTGCACTAAGTGTGAATCACCATAATGTGCTATATTTAGGCTTAATTACTTTTGTTGTGTATGTGACCACAAAGGTTCTGTGGTGCTGAAAAATAAATTTATAAATAAGTCAGATAATGCAACATTTTAGAAGACAAGTTTTAAAGCTACTATAAGTGTGAACCTCCACACATAGTTGTAAAAAAATAAAAAAGTTTAAAAGCTATTATGAATACTTATTAGGTAGAATTCTTTGTTTGAGTAGCCTATCTCCTCAATGTATGCTCTTGTGATCTTGATCATACCTTGACACAAACTCAGACATTAGGGCTGAAACTTATCAAATTCATCTACATTCTTCCCTGCGCCATTTTTATAGATGAAAAGCCAACAGCTCAGATAAGGAATATGACTCAGAGAAGCCCACAGAGCCAATAAGTGGTTGAAACTGGCCTACTTTTCTGGTTTTTTATTCCCTAGCTTGTTAAATAACATTACCATTAGTTGTAAACTTTCTATGTATCAGGCATTCTCTACACACTTTAGATGTTTATTTTCCTTAATCATTAGCCAACCTATCAGGCACGCATTATTATTATAATTTCATTATTATCATCATTTCAGAGATTGATAAAACTAAGACAGAGTAAGTGACTTGCTCAAATTAGCCCAGCTTCTAAATGGAAGAAAGCTCTTCCTACCCCACCAGGCTACTTCTTTTTTTCTTTTTTCTTTTTAGGTTTTCTTGCAGCTCCTTTTGTGAGGTGGAGCTTTCTTTTTATTTTTATTGTTATTATTATTATTGTGTTTTTTATTGTGAAAATACTGTACAGAGGGGTTACAATTACATGAGCAATTTCATATCAAGCATTGTTGCTTGCGCCAAAGTTGTAAAGTTCGTTTTTTCGGCATAACGTCTTGTACATCTCATTGTTGCAGTGGGTGCACCTGTATCTCTATTTAAACAATTGGTTTTTTCCCTTCCCCTCCCCAAATTATACCAACATCAAATACAGTGAAAACGGGTTTATATCGTGGGGGAGGGACATACAAAGCAACAAAGAAATCATCTTATAAATATGTTAGAAACAATAACAAGAAAGAAAAACCATTTGAGTCCTTATCTTGGGGTTTATTTGGCCTAACATCAACTTACCTGACCATTTCTGCTTGTCTCAGATATATACTAGTTATTGCAAATAAGGGAAACCATGGGACCTATGTGTCTTTGGGCCTCCACCAGGCTACTTCTAAAGGAACTGTCCACATGTTGTTGCAATCAGCATCGTGTCACCTCTGTGGACAGCTGGCCATGCACTTCTGCCAACAAATTAATGATAAGAGAACTTGGGATCTGGAGACTGTATACAAACTCTGGTTCTGTCAGTTAAAAAATGCGGTTTCAGGGAATTGTGTAGTCTCCTGGGCCTTTTGATGCTATTGATCTACGAAAATAGAGATTTTTTTTTAAGTTGTTAGGAATAAGATACACATAAACAAAATGATTACTTTGCTCATTATATTGTTATTCTTTGACACAAGTGGTAGCTGGTTCTCATCACTTAATAACAGTGTATTTTCAAGTCACTTCTGCCTGGTAGAGTCAATAGTAAATAAGAAACGATGCATCTTTGGCATTGCAAAAAAATATATCCTAAGATCTTTAGAAATTCTGTGTCATGTGTTTCCTGTATATATCCTTATTTTGCATTTTCACAAGGACATTGTTGATAGGAAAGTAGACTCTAAGCCCTTGGCTGGCCTTCCTCATACCAGCCTAGCGCCTTCCATCATTCCAGTTTATAGCTAGGAAAAATTCTACTACTTCCAGATGTAGTCATTTGAGGCACACTCTGAAATAAAAGCATAAATATTAAACTCATGAACATCAAATTCTACTCTTCAGCCTCATCTTTTTCTACATTTTTCTTTTTCATGAATATGTTTAGGGAGTTTTTATTTTCCTTACATTATTTGAATTGTCAGATTATAAAATTTAAATTCTTTGTAGTATTCTAATGATAAAGAAAATCATTATAGGGGCTGGGAAGTTGGCTCAGTGGTAGAGCACTTGCCTTGCATGCCTGAGGCCCTGGGTTCGATTCCTCAGCACCAAATAAGAAAAAAGCCAGAAGTGATGCTGTAGCTCAAGTGGTAGAGCGCTAGCCTTGGGCTGAAGAGCTGAGGGACAGCGCCCAGGCCCAGAGTTCAAGCCCCACGACTGGACCCAAAAAAAAAAAAAAAAAAAAAAAATCATTATAATACATGTGGTTAACCACCTAAAAATTTCCTAATTGAATCTAATATCTAATTCATATTCAGATTTTCCCTACTGTCTTAAAATTGCTTTTATACTAATTTTTTTTACAAATTTCCTCATTTTGTTCTATTTTTCCAAATAAGACAAAGCATACTCACAATGTCTGATAGTCACATCTCTTTTCTATCTTGTAATTTACAGCAATTATCTTAGCTTGTGTGTTTTCATGATGTTAACTTTGTAAGAGACAAAACTAATTCTCTTAACAGTACCCCATATTCTAGGCTTTCCTGTTGTTTTGTTTGTATATTATTTATCTTGTTATTTATCCCCTGTATCTTTGAAAAACAGAAGATCTGGTTGGAAACAAGCTGTTAAGAACAACTTGATAGGTAACACTATGTATTTTATATCAGATAATACATATGATTGTCCCATTATTCACTTGATTAGTATGACAGTTGCCAGATCTCTCATGTTGATGTAGCTTTTCTTTTTCTTTCAATGCTTAAAACTAATTTGTGGAATGATTACTTGGTTTATAGAAACACCCTTTTTCCAACTATGCTTTCTAATTGTGTTAGGCTTCATTGTTAAGCCTTGCTTAAGTCATTTATTCCACTGGAAGTTGTAAATTTTTTGTAATTTTTAAATTTATCATCCCTTTTATATTTATTAACTAACTCTCCTCTGTAAATGAGAGCTTTCCTTCATCCACGGGTGATGCCTATGTCTTTATTGTTTATATCAGTACAACATGTTTGCTATTAATTGCCTAAATTGGCATCTTTAGGTTATGGAACTGAGTTTTAGATCAGTTGTAATTTATATTTTGTGTATACACTTTAAAACATTTTAGTGTACATTAAAGTTGGAAGTGGAGAGTGGATGATTTAAAACAGTGTTTCAAAGTGGTGAACAAAATTAAGACACTTTGGCAAAGAGATTTCAGCAAGTCCGTGGCACTAATAAAAGAACTTACTAATGCTAGCCACTAGAGAGCCTTGCATATGGTTAGATCCCAAAAAGCTAGTGCATTCATAGTCAATAAGGATGAATATTTAGGCCTGAGAAGAAGCAAGTGAATACAAAAAAAAAAAAAAAAAATCAACTTGGGTTCGGTCAGCTCCACATTCCAGCATTCATAATTTGAGCTCAGTTTCTTATCTCCCTCTGCTCACCATTCCTCTGTGCTTTGGTCTTTGCACCTCCTTCTCACAAACATAGCCATCCCTGTCTTTACACATTTATCCACACAGTTTCGTTGCCCACAGTTTCCTCTTCCCTCCCCTCCTCCCTTCATTTCCAATCTCCCCATTTTTCAAACCCAGATCAGATGCTACTCCCTTTATGAAGAGCCTTCTCCCCTTCAGATATCACTTCCTACCTCTGTCACATATTAATACATGAGTCTCTTTCCTGTTTGGTCTTCCCATGGGCTTTCATCAGTACACTTCTTTACCATAGGGACATGACTATCAAAACTTGACACTGCTGGTGTTTTGCATCCTTACATTCCCCTTGAGAATCTTTCTGAAAGTTAAGCAGATCTAACACCCTCCAAAAGCAAATATTTTTGTGAAAATTAAGGCTACTGTTTGAGTATTTATCACCATCTGTTCTTTGTAAATAGTATAAGATTTAATTCTTTTAATATGACAAAAGGAAAGGAGGAAAAAAAGGTAGGCTAAATTATTTTTGCATTTAAATATCACCACGAAAATGATAGGCATAAATTAACCTGACAAATATTACAGTGAAAATGAAGCTCATTTTATTTTCTTAAATTGAATCTTTTAATATGTTAATCACATGAACACTATTTTAAATGGAAATAAAACAATGGTATTTTGTGCTGCTTCAAGATTTTTATCTGATCCAACAAAACATTGTTTTAAAGTGTTTTAAATATCTTTTCTCTGTGTTTCCTTAAGAATACTTTGCCTCCATGCAGTTCTTTTCATCTGAGGACTTCCTGAGGCTGATAATTTTTGTTACCCAATAGCAATAACAAAGCTGTGATGTCGTTTGGATTTTTATTTCTGCAGAAGCAGGGGGTAAAAAACTACGGAGCACTGTGCAGAGAAGTACAGAAACAGGTCTGGCAGTGGAGATGAGGAACTGGATGACTCGACAGGCCAGCCGAGAATCTACAGATGGCAGCATGAACAGCTATAGCTCAGAAGGAAAGTAAGTAAGGCTGGTTAAGAGGCGTGTCTCTTCCACACCTTGCTTGTAGCCTTCTTGTCTGGTTCATCCTCTGTTCTCACAAAATCTAGCTCACACCCTCTGCAACCATTTTCATCGTCACTGGCTGACTTCCTGTGAAGAGAACTTTACTCATCTGCCACTGAGTGGTATGCTATTTCTGGCTTTTTCCATCAAAGGATATAGGTTTGGGGATAAAGTGTTTTGCCTTTGCTGATAAGGTGTTAAAATGTGACTCTCACATTACATGTAAATAAAATATCTTGCCCTAGCTTGAAATAATATATAAAAGCACCAAATTTAATGCGTGCTAGTACCATACCACATAGACTATGCTAATTTTAAACATCTTTAATGTGTTTAAGTTACTATGAAAAAATAATTTCATGTACTAACAATATTTCATATCATTTATTTCGACTAATAAAGTTAACTAATAATGAAATAAAAATAAATGAATAAATAAAAATAAGTGAAATATAATGCATTTTAATTACATGAAATATAACATCCAAAAAGGAATTCCCCCTAAAATAGGGGCCCTATGTAATTATATGAACCTTTCCTTTGAATGAACTATCTTTGAGATTTTTTTTCTAAGTTTTTACAAACATTATATAGCCAAGCAGGTGGTTCATGCCTGTAATACTAGCTATTCAGGGATGCTAAAATATGAAGATTGCTGTTCAAAGCCAGACCAAGCAGATAAACCCAAGAGTTTATCTCCAATTAATCTTTAAAAAGCTGAAAGTGGAGGTGTGACTCAAGTGTTAAGAGCATCTGCATGAGCCAAAAAGCTGAGTGAAAGTGCAAGGTTCTAAGTTCAAGCCCCAGTACAAGTACAAAAGGAAATAAAGGATTGTATGACCCCATCACAAATAAATTAATGTTAATGATGACTATAGATCTGTAAATGGATGTGTAAAGGGAATCAATAGATGTGTAGTTTACTAACCTTCCATCACTATGGAAACATTGAATGCTTAGACAGAAGTGTAGCCAATATTATGAAATATTACATGGGGTATAAAACATTTAAACTGTGACCTCGACCCCAGATCGCTGTACTCCTAATAGATAAATAGGATAAATACTAATAAATTACTTTAACAAATATTATCTTCTACAGATCCAGACACCATACCGTGAGTTGGGATTTAGGTCATGTAAGGAAGTCAGTATCCATGGTTAAGATCGTAGACACTGGGATCCCATAGACCTAGATTCTTTCATTGTTATTATTGTTTCTTTGTCTTGATACTATAGGATTTTCCAAAAATTACTTACTTTTTTTAAGCTTCAATTTAATTGACGCTTAAGAAGTATTTATTGAGTAATTACACTTTCCCAGGCAAAGGTTCTAAGTACCTAGAAGTACAGCAGTTAACTGCTATGTTGTTCAAACAGATAACAAACAAACAAACCTGTTTTTCATATCAGGGATCCTATGAGGGGACTAGTTTTGTTTGAGAGGTGGAGGAAGGCTGCCAGGTTTGGCTAGAGATGATCATTATACATCAGTCTAAGTCTGTTGCCTAAAGAAGAGGACCAAGCTGGAGACATCAAGCTAGGCAGTACCAGTATGAAGGAGAAATGCAAGGAGCCTAGAGGCTGCAGGAAGTGAAGTGGAGAAAGCATCTCAAGGAAGAGGAAGAGATCCATCGAGTCAGGTTCTTCTAATCTGTTGAGTTAGATGAAACTGAGTAATGTGGTAATCAGTGCATTTACTTCTGTGGCCATTAGGTAAATTTTGCTAAGAGAAATTTTGGTTTCAAGAGAGAATGAAAAGGGAATAAATGCAGACATAATTTAGGGGCATGTTTTTCAAGGAATTTCAAGGAAAGAAATGGGGTGCTAACTTGGAAGAGAAGTGGAGTCAGGAGAAGGGATTATTTATGTAAGATGGAAGACATAGTAGCATTGTTTAAATGTTGATGAGAATAATCCAGAAGGGTTTCTCCATCTATAAAAGAGGATAAATCATAGAACCTGTCTTCTAGTTAGGCCACTAGATTAAATACCATAGAACCTGCCATGGAATAGGTTCTTAACAGGTACTGGGCATGGCTGACAAATCACAGCCTCTGTCCTCCAGCTCAAGAAAGAGGAAGACACATAAATAGAAGTCTGCAATCATGTAACAATTGCTTCATGTGACATACATTGACATAGAGAATATGGAGCAAGAGGTATGGGAAGTGGACTGGGATGTTGGGGTCCAATAAATACCAGTGACAAAATAATGGTACCAGCCATGCTTCCACAGAAAGTAGACTAGAGAGAGACATGGGACTGAGGATTCCATCCATATGTTATTTTGCTTTCAGTTTGATTTTCCCTGGTGTCCGCTTGGCCTCTGACAGCCAGTTCAGCGATTTCCTCGATGGGCTGGGCCCTGCTCAGCTAGTGGGACGTCAGACTCTGGCCACTCCTGCAATGGGTAAGGCTTTCTGTCATGGAATTGTATTGCTTTTCTTTAGTATATTGAAAATTGTATTCCTTTAATTTCATAGACTCTCTACCACTATTACTAGCAGAAACAAAGTGAGACTTTTTTAACAGTAATTTTTTTTCATTTTAATTTCTGATGATCTTTAAAGGAAGATATTGATAAAACTGGTAACATTTTTTTTTAATTTAAGGAGACATGGGAAATGATGAACTGTTGTTAAACCAAGTTCTTTGGTGAAAGCACTTCTCTTAATGCATTTGTGTGGTAAAGCACATTTTTTTCTTCTTCTTGCACCATTAGGTGACATTCAGGTAGGAATGATGGACAAAAAGGGGCAGCTGGAGGTGGAAATCATTCGGGCCCGTGGCCTTGTTGTAAAACCAGGTTCCAAGACACTGCCAGGTAAAGAAACAGAAGAGATATTCCTATTATTGTCTGTTAAACTATGGTGTTTTCATTTAGAAGCCGTGTTTTTTTTTATTTTTGAAAAACTTAGATTTTAGTTAAAGATGCTAACAGATAAGTCAGTTATCTGACTTGCTTCAGGCTATCGTAGTTTGAGGTTTATCTTGAATTCAGTAAAAGTGTTCTCTTACTGGAGGAGAATAATATAAGCTCTTAAATAATTCCATATATATTAAAAATCCCTAAAATAAAAACTATCACACTTAGATGATTCATTTTTGTCACAACATATGCATAAGAAGTTCTCTTTACTTAATAACTAGTGTTTTATGCTGCTCTTCAGTTTTATCTAGATCTTCAAGTTTCACCTAAGGCATCCTTAAAACTCTAAAATTAGAATAAAGATGGATATAGGTTCCATGGTAGCATAAGCCAATATATGCTAAATGTTCTAATTGTAAGAGTTTTAACTCCTGTAGTATGTAAGGAAAAAGAGTCATTATTTAACTTTATGCCATATATTTCATACTGAAATGTTACTAGAATGTAAGATAATTGAAGTTGTGGAAAATGACGCAGTGGTTTTACATGTTTGAAACGATTACTGAGAATTCTGAAACTTCATTTCTAGCCTTAGCATTGTCACTACTGACATCTCAACTTTTCAATCCTTGCAGGAATTTAAAACTAGGATGCATTGCTTATTGTACAACATTGCCATTACCTTTTATGTTCATAAAAATAAAATTGTTTTGTCATAAAGAATATCATGACTTTTACATTAGTGGGCATGAATTTCATGAAGTGTTTGCCAAATAAATTTTAAGCCATTGAATTTATATTTAGCAACCTCTTCCTAGCCAATTTGAACATTCTATCCTCAAGCCTCATTCCACACCACCATCAGTAAAGAAACACCTTTGAATGATAAGTAATCTTTTGGATTGGAGGAGCAAAAACAATGTAATTAAATTGAGCTTTTGGTAAATTAAAGATTAAGAGACCTCTCTAGAGGGCAGGATGGTTAGAGACTGGAAATGTTTTACCTTACTTATCCAGTGTTCAAATAGATACAAACAGCAGTAAACAAACAAAAATTGCATCCCCTGCAACTCTCTGAGTGGCTGACGATTGTCCATAATTTGAATTGAACATCCCGTACGAGACCAGGGACTTTTGATTGGCGTTAGCTCTTTCAGATAAAAATGAGGCTATTGCAGATGTCCCCCATAAGCTGGACACGGAACAGATGTGATCATCATTCACCCCTACCCCGTTTTTTCCCTAGCACCGTATGTCAAGGTGTATCTACTAGATAATGGAGTCTGCATAGCCAAAAAGAAAACGAAAGTGGCACGGAAAACGCTGGAACCCCTTTACCAGCAGCTGTTATCTTTTGAAGAGAGTCCCCAAGGAAAGGTTTTACAGGTATTTACTTATTTGCTGATTCCTTACATAAGAAACTATTTTTATGAAGCCAAACCTTGTATTCAGTACTTTTACTTGAGACATCCCTTTTTTTCCTTGTTTTTTCACCATTATTGGGGCTTGAACTCAGGACCTCACACTCTTGATTAGCTTTTCTGCTCAAGGCTGGCACTCCTCCATTTGAGCCATACCTCTACTTCTGGATTTTTGGTGGTCAGTTGGAGCTGAGAGTCTCATGGACTTTCCTGCCCCATGCTGGCTTTGAATAGTGATTCTCAGATTACAACCTCATGAATAGCTGAAGTATAAGCACAAGCCAACTGTGCCCAGTTTCTTGTCACATTCTGTTATGTTCTTCACAGCTGAAAGTCTTTGAAAACCTGAAAGTGGTGGCCAGTGCCATAAACTGTGTGTGTGTGTGTGTGTGTGTGTGTGTGTGTGTGTGTGTGTGTGTGCGCGCGCACGCGCGCGCGCGCACACGCGCGCACGCAGGCACTGGGGGGGGGGGGGGAGGGAGAAAGAGAGAGATCCCATTATACATCAACTCCAATCTCTGTGGACTGCTCATCGCCAAAGCTTTAGTAGATTTTGCAGTGTATCTTTGGATTCTGGTAGAAACAATTGTCCCATTCATCAAATACATCTATTTAATTATTCTTTGATGTCAAATGAACTTCACTATTTAAATGCATTTTTCAAGTTTTTTGTCAGGTATATGCTTATACCATTCTTTTCATTTTGCCAACAGATTATTGTCTGGGGAGATTATGGCCGAATGGATCACAAATCCTTTATGGGAGTGGCCCAGATACTTTTAGATGAACTGGAACTATCCAATATGGTGATTGGATGGTTCAAACTATTCCCCCCCTCCTCTCTAGTAGATCCAACCTTGGCCCCTCTGACAAGAAGAGCTTCCCAATCGTCTCTGGAAAGTTCCACTGGACCTTCTTACTCTCGTTCATAGCAGCTGTAAAACTGTTGTCACAGCAACCAGCGTTACAAAAAAAAAAATACATATATATCCACAGGTCGCAAACCCTGGTAACACTGCATGCTTAATGTTGTGTCTTCTGAGCCCATTTCTAGGGATACAAAGCGATCCTGTGTTCTCAGAGGAAGTTGCACACATTGTGCCCTAACGAAGGCCCTCAGGTGAAAGAGCAGAGCTATGAAGAACTATCAGGTTTGGAGTTCATTGACACTCGAGTTTTGGTCCAATCTGAAGCCATGGATTAATCTCAAAGAATCCCGTCAGTTTCATGCAACAAAAGCCCTTTTCAATGGCACCTTTATATTTTTATCGTTTTTCTTCATTTATCTAACCCAAAGCCCTGTTATGCCACAGAAATGGAGCTCTACAGCCATTAAGCCATGTTACAGGCCAAGGAATGAAGTCCTAAGAATCATCAGGTGAAAAGCAAGGTCAGGAACAAAGCATCCGCCCCTAGACCAGGATCCGGAGGGAGAGAGGCCAGCTGGGAAGCTCCAGCTGGCATGTCATTTACTGATGCCAAGATGTGTCGGACTCTGAAAATGACAATTCTGTGGCTACACTGTACTGAATGAAATTAAAGAAACTTTTGCATGGACTCAGATTAGCTGAATACTTTAAATTATTTTCTTGGGGCTGCAACTTGCAAAAAAAAATAAATAAAAATCAGCCATTTTCAACAATTTATATTATTTTTAAAAGTAAATTTCACTAGTGCATGGTTTTAAATGGGGGAGAGAATGCAACAGGGTGATACCAAGACACGCCATGTTTATTCTTTAACCACAGTCTGTGTTTTGGCAGACATTACAGATGAAAATACTTTCTAGCAGATACTTCAAATTCTCTTTATGTGACAACAGCAAGATAATGTATTCACTTTCTTTCCATGTGAAAACACAAATCTTATGACCTTCAATATGTGCAAATTCTTCACATCGTTCTTCCTCTTCTCTATCTCACTTTTCCTCTTCTCCCTCTTTTGTTTATTTTCTTCCTCCCAATGAGAGTGAACCTTATATTAAAAATGATGAGTTTTTTATCTGATTTAATCTTCTACCCCATATTTGATTCAGGGCTGTAGGTGCATCTAAATTTATGAATTTCTCAAGGGAATTAAAATATTTAAGAGCTTTCTTTATTTCAAGCATGTTGAAAGGACTTTGCAACATGACTTGGGAGTACACTTAAGTAAGTCAGCATGTATTTGACAAAGAAGATATTTGAACTTTTGCAACTTATTGTACAGTGCATGGTAATTTTTTTTTCACCTTCAAAATTCAGTTTACAGGAAAATCCTACAATCATGTGGCCATTGTAATGTCTGATAAATTTGTTTTCGGCACCAGCATTATTCATACAGGGGTTCAAGTATTATTTGTAGGTATTCTTAGGGGTTTTTGGTTTGTTTTCTAATTCTTTAAATGATTTCTTTAGCCAGTTTCCATTTACTGTGTGAATAGACACACTGCTAAAAATTTGGAGCCCAGACACCCAAGGCTGTTTATTAATTCATTTTTCTGTAGTAAAAATCAAAATTTTCACAAGTTATATTTCTAAGGAAATATCATAAACATAAATTTGCAACAGTTTTAAAGCTCCAATTTTTAAGTGACTCAAAGAAAGTCAATATGCCTACTAACTAGTTCTCTGATGCTGTCATCAGAAGTCTACATGCAAATGCTCTGGAGTCAAAACCCCTGCCTTTGGTTCTACTGACTGACAGTTATTACCATTGGGTGGTGCTGCAAGGTCAAATTTCTCTCAAGTTCCCAATTTAGAGGAAATGTCACTGGTCAATGAAGTGAACCACCCTTCCCTTCTGGTTCTTATGTCCTCTTTGACACACGTTCTTAATAGATTGGTTTGACTTTCTTGCAATACTTTTTGAAGTTCACACACATCACATCTGTTTAAATGAAGTCCATGCACAAATATTATTTTCTTTGTTTTTTATTTATTTTTTCTAATTCAGTGCTAATCATTGAAAACTATCATGCTTGATATGGTGCAAAAGTTAAAATGAGTATCACTAAAAATGCCTTCTCTTTATGTGGTGCAATATGAAATACATTAGGACTGTGTCTTGACAGTCTGAGATCTACGATGGACCCAGGTAGAGTTTTGAAAAGAATGAATAAAACTTTATTGAAATAATTTAGACACCTGTGTACCAGCAACAATTGATTTAATAGACCTGTAGTGTCTATACTACCCCTTAGAATAAACGTTTACCATTTTCCTGATACTAACAGGCAGTCACATAATCTTTTATGCATATTCCTATACAAATTATTTCTAATTTTAATAAGAAGGATATGACTGTATGGAATATTTGTACATACTTGTCATTATGCAGTATTTATTTAAAGTTGGTGTTGTTTCTTTTTTTTTTTAATTTTCACATGTCTGCACCTCGACTTGTGGTTTAGTCATGTAAATAGCACTATGCTAGTGACCATTGCTGCCCTGTACATAATACATTTTCAAGTAAAGGGAATTCCAGTTGGGGGAAAAAAACACAAAAAAGGGCAGATTAGTCCTGTAACAAACACCAACTAATGTAAATCAAATTCATTCTGGTGATGGTATTTAACACTTTAAATAAAACATTTTCTTTACAGATGTTGTATGTAGTGCTTTCTCAGATTTCTCTTCTCATAGTTCTCTAAGCCTGCTGCAGTACTCCCCTGAGATGCCCATCCTTCAAGACCAGGATATCACCTTCCATACCTTCCATACCTCTTTGTGACATTAGTGAGTTGCTGGGCTTTGCAAATCGCCCTCAACAGAAGACACACACACACACACACACACACACACACACACACACACACACACACACACACACACACACACACACACACACACACACACACACACACACACACACACACACACGGTGTTGAAAGATCTCCGCTCACCTTACAACTTATTTATTTTTTAATGTTGTTCTTATACTTGCATGCTTTCTGATTAATTGACTCAACAGTTTGCAGATTTTATGAGCAATGCACATGAATCTTGCTGGTTACTGACAGAGTCACAAGGAAAGCTGAACGGGCTCTGCTGCGTCCTGTGTGAAGATGGTAGAACAGGTTGTCACGTGTTTCTGCTAGAGTCATGTGAGCTTTGTGAGGGGTGGGGATATATTTTTGATTAGGGAGACATAAGTGGTAATTTGACATAACTTGTCCAGAGACTGGCTTCTACTGCATGATGTGGGTAGATGACAGTCTGTCTGTCCTAGGTCTGTTCCTTCAACAGGGAGAAAGAGAACTCCAGCAGAGTTCCCATGGTATCCTCCCCAGGCTCTGAAATGAATAACTAGTTTAGATTTGCATTTAATTAGTAATCTAGCTCTCTATTCTTGGAAACAACTATTTCCTTTATTTCAAATAACTTTATTTCAAATACTTTCTACCCAAGTACTCCATCTATCCTGTAATATTTTTCATTATTCATTGAGCTGTTATATTGATCTATTTCTCTGCTGTTCAAACAGTCCTATAAACATTCCCTTGATACAGTTCTTTATATACTACCTCTTGAAAAGTCCTAAAATTATCAAAAATGATCCGTGTTAGTCCCTTTGCAACTTCCAGCTCAGCACAGATCCCAACTAAATTCTAGCAACATGGACCCCCCACTGATAGCAGACTCTAAGGTCCAACTGCAACAACAAGGAACTCCATAATCATTCTTGCATGGGCTAGGACAGAATGGGTAAGACATAACCGTCTCCAAAGCTGCCTGCCTGTGATGACAGCCGGTAAAGGTCTGTGCACATAAAACCATGTGCTCCATACGCTTCTTTCCTCTGTACCTCATAAGGATTCCATGTCTTGCCATTGTTCATCATAGATAAAACAGTTCACATTTGGTTACTGAAATGTGTATTGAGAGGTGACATTTTTGTAAATGGATATGATCATATGTGCCACTCAAATTATCCTTGTGGCATGAGTCAGGTCACTTAATCTCTTTGGTGCTCTTTCTCTCATCTGGAAATTAGGAGTCTGAGTGAGTTACTTTGTCAGCATTTCAACATACAAGGTCCTTCAGGACAGGGACCATATCTACTCTCTCTCCTCTTTTGTATCTTCAGTGTGAGGAACAATGCTTATTATATACATGTTCACATGTTCAATAAGTATCTGTCAATTTTTATTTAATTCCTGCTTCTTTTTGAGGCAGTATTCCAGGCATAGTAGAGAACAAAACAGCCTACCCTCGTAGGGCTTTAATTTTACCAGAGGACAACATTGAATGAGATTACAAATACCGAACTTTCCTAATGCGCAGCACCCAGGATGTGACAGGACCCTGGAGCGAAGGGTTTTAACCCAGTCTAGAGAGGAAAGACGGACGTTTCAAATAGTAAGCAGAAATCAAATAGCAGATAAAGGCAGTGGAAGGCAGGAGTGAGGTGAAATATATTCCACACAGACCAAACAGCAAGTGACAAATTAGAAGAAGTGTGATTCTACGTTTTGATTACCTTGCAGTGTCTAAAACAGCTGCGAACAAAAGTGAAAAAAATAAATTAACACAAGTGAGCATACATTTCTCTAGTCTGGGCTATTTCTGAGCCGCTAAAGAGTTCTGTTGAGGAGGTAGTTTTGATTTAAACTCACTATGAGATCTATTTGTGAGTGAGCTCGTTGATGAGGATTAAACCGCTATGTAATTATATTTAAAATAGTTCTCAGAATGCTAAGCCCTTAATCCTCTAAATTGTTAGGTCTTTGAGCTTAAGAGCCACAGCCTGTAGTTCTCTGCCTGATGTAGCACCTAACTCTTGCTGAAGAGATTACAGATGTGAAATGTACAGCTCTAACGGGACTTTCAAGTATTTTCAGAAAAGATGACTATCGTCAACACAGAATAGCCTTAAGTCTTGAAATTTATGTTCAGAAGACTTTAGCCTATAATGTCCTCAGTGCCTTGAGCAGGTATGCTTTCTCTTCTGTCCACCACATATTATTTCCTTGAGCCCTGCTGTTTTTCTAAGGGACTCAATTCTCATGTCAGAGGAGATGTGGATTCTTGTACCTTTGCCTATGAAGAATTGAGGAGTGTTTTTGTTTCTGTAGTTGTATTTTGCTTTGCCTTGATAACAAAGAGGCAGTCTATTGCCAGGGACAGAAATTATGAGATGGAAAAAATTTTTAATGTCAAGAACTGCCAATGGTTATGCTTTCTGCCCTGTGATAAAAATTGGTTTGCCATGAGAGAAAAAAGTTCACAAAGCCAAAAGGATTCAAGAATTTCAAAGTCCCGGGGCTGGAAAGGTGGCTCAGTGGTAGAGCGCTTGCCTTGCATGCTCAAGGCCCTGGGTTCGATTCCTCAGCACCACATAAGCAAAAAGAAAAAAGCCGGAAGTGGCGCTGTGGCTCAAGTGGTAGAGCGCTAGCCTTGAGCTGAAGAGTTGAGGGACAGTGCCCAGGCCCAGAGTTCAGGCCCCACGACCGGACCCCAAAAAAAAAAAGAATTTCAAAGTCCCAGTGTCCCATGTTCCTGCTCCATTATGGCTGAGGGACAACTGCACTCTTGCCCTTCCAAGAAAGCACACACATCCCAGCCATAATTAGTGAAGGATCCCACTGCTGATTAATCCTAATTAACATATTAGCCCAAGGATGAGTCCAATCTTGAAGGTAAAATTGAGATTACCTAGGGCAACCATGCCTCATTAAGAGAACTTTAAGGGTTGGGAGCATGCAACCTCTGCTTGACAAGTATACAGAGAATTCCAGTAGAACGCATCCCAGCCCATTCCCCTTTAAACTCTTCTTCATATCCTAAAATTCCTTTCCAGTATTTTATACTTCCTGGGAGTACCACTACCACTACTTTCTAGAAATATACAGCAAAGGCCTAATTCCTCTTCCACAGAATGGTCCATCTAATATTTTAAATTAGCCATTTTCTTATCCCCCTTAGAAGCATTATAGCATGTTAGCTAAAAGTATTTGCTGCGATAAAAATGTCTGAATTTGAACATATACTCCTCATTTGCTACCTATATAACAAATAGACCACATGCCCTGTTTTCTCCTGTGCAGTGACAAAGCAGCGATGAGAATAGTACCTGATGTTCAAGGTGTTGAGAGGATTAAATGAAGTGACAGGGACAAGAAACAGAAGCACTCACTAAGATTTAGCTATTGTGGTGCTGATGATAACTATTGTTCTTTTTCTTCTCCAGGCACTTCTAATCAATGCCTTCAGCCACTTGTCACATACTAGAAACTTCTTCACCTCACTTATGCTCTCCAGAATCAATCAATAGGCTCCAAAAAGGCACTGGCAGAGCCAGGCACAGGTGGCTCACACCTGTAATCCTAGCTACTCAGGAGCCTGAGATCTGAGGATTGTGGTTAAAGGCCAGCCCTGGCAGGAAAGTCCATGAGACCCTTATCTCCAATTAACCACCAGAGAACTGGAAGTGGCTCTGTGGCTCAAGTGGTAGAGTACGTGACCTGAGCTGAAGAGCTCAAGGATAGCACCCAGGCCCAGAGTTCAAGCCCAATGACCCCCCCAAAAAAGGGGAGGGGGGCCACTAGTTTATGAAGAGGAAGGACTCTGCTGCCTCTTATCTCTACTACCTCTTTCAGGCTGAGCTGGTGGTTGACTCAGTGTCTCAGATCCTTACAGGGAATTGCTTCCTCATTCTGTCCTTGTGAAATTTCAGTTTTAGACAAACAACAGATATAAAAGTTTATTCTTATTTAATTTTTTCCCATGGACTTTGTCCAATATTCCAACCTGCCAAAATGATTATGACTGTTCTAACCCTGGCATTCACTCTGAATTATGTAAAGCCCTAGGTCTCTTCAAAGACACTTGCGGGCACTGCCGGCTATGAGTCTCCTGTAGATCTGATAAGGAGTTACTGTGTCTTTTCCATGTCTTTGATTAAATGTTGACCACAATAAGACCAAGATGAAAGCCTTGTTAACTCTCTCCTGCTAATGTTAATTAATATCAATAGCAGTCTTGTAACACATAATCACTTACCAAATGACTAGTTTATATGCATGATTTAAGTTCATTCTTATGAAATAAGTATTCCCATCTATTTTGCAGATAAGAAAGCCATAGTTAAGATAGTTTAAACAATGTAACCAAGGTCCTCCATCTGAGAAATGGCATATCCAGATGCAAACCTGAGTCCTCTGATAATACACTGTGTTGTTCAATTGACTGTGAAGGAATTTCCCTTGAGCACAACCACCATGCATTTCCCTACCTCATCCACAGAAAATCCATCAAGATCTTTTTCAGATGATTTACTTGCAATGTAGATATACTACATGTAATGTACTTTCTGTTCAATCTCAGAGCTAACAAAAACATGGGTGCTTTTTGATAGGATGGTAAGAAAGAGGTTGCTGATTATAGCAACACCACTTCCCTGGATTGTTTTTTAAATTTTCATTAGAACCTAGATAGATTAGATAGATAGATAGATAGATAGATAGATAGATAGATAGATAGATAGATAGATAGATAGATAGATAGATTGATAGATAGATGATAGGCATAACATGGGCATTTTCTGATGGTGGCTCTTTTTCCTAAAATAAACTCATGCTTTAGTTAGTTTTACCATTTCC